TGCCACTTCACACGATGACTGGCCACCCGCACAAGCAACCAAGCCACACGCCTTTTGCGGTGCGGAACGAGCGAGGTGACAAAGAGACATGATTGCTATCACGACGGGGGGATACCAAGACCAGCAAGAGTCCAGGGGCGGGTCGCGAGGACTGGGGAGGAGCGGGACGGGACGGCACGTACCCGCTGCAGCTGAAAGGTGCGGACCACGTAGCTGGCCAGCTCCTGACTGTCTGTGAGCGTCACGTGGATGGGCCAGTACGACTTCGTGCCCTTGGTGGGCCAGTACTGATCGCACTTGATGCGCGCCCGCTCCTCCAGGCGCGTTATCATGACGATAGTGAAGCTGCGCTGCTCCCACACCATGCGCCAGAAGTCGGAGAACGTTTCGGGCAGCGGGCCCTGCGGCACCGGCCGTGGTGCGGTCAAACACCGCGGGGTTCATGCACAACCAGGTCAAACACGGCAGGGCTCATACATGGCGGGGTTCAAACATGGTGGGGTTCAGACACAGAGGGGTCAGACACGGTGGGGTGTAGACACGACCGGGTTCAGGTACGGCGGGGTTCAAACAAAGCAGCCCTCAGCCACTGGTGGTCTCGAAAGCACCCAGATCCCAGCCCAGCAGTGGCTGACGGCGCCAGTACATACAAGTCTCATCTCAAAAACACACAGACCCAGCCCAGCAGCGGCTGACGGCGCAACATACAAGCCTCACCAGAAAACACCAGACCCCAGCCCAGTAGGGCTGACGGCAACAGTACATACCAGCCTCACAAGGGACGACACAAATGCGTTTGAACGACTCAGCACTCACTACAGTTCCCATCATGGGTCCCATCATGCTACCTACAGTTCCAACAGTACATCTACAGTTCCATCATAAACAGAACGCCCAGAGCGTGAAATGCTGCCATACACCTCGCTGAAGCCGATGTCCCCTCTCCTCCGGCGGCCGAGACGCACCTGGGTGGCGATGTAGGCGTTGTGCTTGAGGTAGCCGTCGCAGAAGTTGGCGTTGATGTAGTCGCTGCCCGCCAGCCCCTCCTCCGACTGCAGCACCACGCGCGAGTGGTCGTACGCTAAGATGTGGGCATATCGGTTCTTGGGCTGATTCATGTCCAGGTTGGAGTTGACCAGGTGAACTGCTGACCCGGCTCGATCGACTGACACAAGCGATGGGAGCGGCGCAGTCAGTGGGACTCCGGACAGAATGCGACGTTCGCCCACGCGGCGGGAGGCGGCGTGTCACAGGTCGGTGACGTTCGCCCACGCGGCGGGAGGCGGCGTGCCACAAATCAGTGACGTTCGCCCACGCAGCGGGAGGCGGCGTGTCAAAGGTCGGTGACGTTTGGCCACGCGGAGAGAGGCGGCGTGCCACAAATCAGTGACGTTCGCCCACGCGGCGGGAGGCGGCGTGTCACAGGTCGGTGACGTTCGGACGGGCAGCTAGACTGTCCGTCGCTGAGCGGCAGCGACATCTGCAGGTGACCTGGGGACGCACTCTCGGACGGAGTCCAGGAGCTGCGCCGGCGGAGGGACCACATACCGCACTTCTGTCAGACAACAGCGTGCCGCCTCAGCATGACCCCCATACCGACATGAGCCGCTCAGATCACCCCAGCGGGTCCACCCGCCCCAACTCCCTCGCCGTACGAGCCGTGCAAACCGTGCAACCCCGAGTCCCCCGGGGGCGCACCTTGTACTCCTCCGGAACTTGCTGTTGTCGTTGGCCTTGAGCGCTTCCACGTGGTCGGCCAGCTGGCTAACGTGTACGGGTGGGTGCGATATCATGCCGGGCGTCTGGAGGTTCTGGCGCCGGACCTCGGCCGGGTCGGTCTGCGCGTGACTGGCCGGCGCCGCCATGTCGCACATCGGCGCTTCATCACGGTGGCTGGCTCTGGCGATCTCTGCAACTGGCGCCGCCTGCCGCACCTGGCGCGGAAGGGGACGTCAGACCACGCCAGCTCAGGCACGGTCAGTCAGAGCGGGCGTGGTCAAGTGGGCTGGACTACGTCAGTCCGCGCTCGTGCCCGATGCAGCTGATCTTGGGCCGCGCAGGGCCGTCTGACCCGAAGCAGAGGCGGAACGGCCAGAGGTGCGATCTGGTCCCGGTGAAGACAAACGTCGAGAGCTCGTCATGGACAGTCACCATCTTGGTCCGGTGAAGAGAACGTCAGAGAGCTTAATCAATGACAGGTCACGATCTGGTCCGGTGAAGAGAACGTTAGAGAGCTCGACATTGGACAGGTCACGATCATGTTAACCAGACAACCAGGGCAGACCTAAGCCAAGGCTGAGCACAGCTGCTGTGCTCTGGTCATACCGGGAAGCACGACCAGAGGCCAGTACAAAACGTATGTCATTGAAGGGTCGAGGCTGCTTCCGTTGCCCCTGCTTCAGGTTGGTATGATATATATCTAGTCGCAGATCGCCAGTACCGCTGGCAGCAGCCGTGCCACCAACTCAAGCCGCTCATCACGACCCCGCCTGCGCCCAGCCTGCAGTCGTCACGCCGCGCCCCCTTGGGCTCCGAGGCGTCCGGGTTCCCGTCCCACCGAATCACGCGCGGCAGCGGAGCGGCGACGCTCGGCCCGCTCACCTCCTAGCGGCGATGACGATGTACGGCACCAGGATGATGAGCAGCACAGACCGACGGCCGTCGGACCCACCACCCAGACCAGGCTGGACGAGGAGTACGACGCGCCCGCCCGCGGCTTCATGTCCAGACTGAGCAGTTCTGAGTACGGACTGGACGTGAACAGGTCCTGCACGAGGTGACGGCTCCGGTCAGGTCACATGGAGTGTGGACAGGGCAGTACGGACTGGATGTGAACAGGTCCTGCACGAGGTGACGGCTCCGGTCAGGTCACGTGGAGTGTGGACAGGGCAGTTCTGAGTACGGACTGGACGCGGACGGCTACCGAAAGCCGGAGGAAGTCACGTCAGATTGACAACAGCACAGTGGGCAGGATGAGATGCCCGGCCGCTACAGAGGCCGACAGAACGGAACCCAGCCGCACAGTCCCCCACAGGCCTGACACAGGAACGGCACCAGCTGCATATGGCGGCTCAACAGCCTGTGTAAAAACCGGCGCTCAAGACCACGCAACAAGACCGTCGGTTACCTCTCCGGCCAAAGCCAAGAGACGTATCCGAGCCGGACAGTGTCTTGGCCACGGGCGCCAGTAGTCGCCAATGAGGAGTGGCACACCCGCCGCCGCCTGCTTCAGCTGCCTCAGCCACGTGAGCCGCCCCCCCCCCCCCCCCCCCCCCCCCACTGACCTCCGCCGGCATGTCCACGACGGCACGCACGAAGATGCGGTACTTCTTGCCCTTCTCCAGCGGCTTGTTGACGAAGCCGTCGTACTTGCGACCGTCCCCGAGCGCGAAGGTGTACGGGATGTTGCGCTGGGTGGAACATGGCGGTGATGTACGGCCGGTAGTTGGGCATCAGCTCGGAGGCGCTTCGCCTCCACCATCTGGCGGCAGGAGAGGCCGAGTGACCGACCGGCGTCGACGGCAGGGTGCCGACCGCGCGGCGCCTGCCACATGCGCGCTTCCGGTCGGCCGCCTGCGCTCGGCCTGCGGCTGCTGGCGAGAGCAGCGCGAGGGCGGGACGTCGGCCCGGTTCGACCCTTCAGCCGCGAGCTGGGCCTGCTCGAGCCGCGCTGCCGGCTGTGAGCTCTGCGCGGCGGGCGCTGCAGCGAGGCAGCGCCCGCCGCGCCGCCGCCGCTCACCTTCTTTGTGCTGTGCGAGTCCGGATGGTCCCTGACGTCGTGTTCGGGGCACCACCACGACAAAGTAGTGCGAGATGGGGCCGTACTCTTCCGAGGCGCACGGCAGGGTCACCGTCACCTTCTGGTTGCGCACGCCCAGCAGGTCGGGCTTCGCCATCGGCTGCGGCGCTGCAGAGACGCGCAGACGGCGCTCAGGCCGGCCGTACAACAGACCAATCACGGCAAGGACAGCGGAAGGCGTGCGCGTCAGACACAGTCCACGCTGACAGCGATACAGTCGTCTGGCTGTGCAGGGAGGCCGGTCACCGAACGGCGGTCACATGTGCAGGTCACGTCCCTCTGACCATCGGGCTGACCCAACGACGTACCGACTCCACGTGAGCACGAGTGAGCGGTTGTTGGTCGTCTATCGCCGACGACAGTGACATGAACAAGCCTCCCGATCACGCCAGCGCCACAACACAGTCAGAAAAGGCTCGTGAAAGCAGCTGACTAGGCTTCCCATCTCACAATGAGGGCCATAACGTACAAGCGCCTCAGCCCCGGACGATCTGTCACCTGGGGCCGATTCTCGCGCTCTAGAACGCCTCCCGTCGTCCGTCTGCCGCGCAGAGCCCCCTCACTCCTCCCACTCAGTCAGACGCGCAGCGTCGCCGCCGCCGCCGCTGCTGGCGCCTGACCTACCGGCCATCTGAGTTGTGACGCGGATCTTGGCCGGCGCGCGGTAGCCGTTGTCGTCGGGCACGGCCGTCACGTTCACCGTGTACGTGGTGAACGGCTCCAGGTCCTCGATCTGCTTGCGGCAGATGCTCCTCTTTTCGCACCGCTTGGCGTCCAGGATCAGCGAGCGCGGCTCGATGCGACGCGACTGGGTTACGCCCTCGGCGTCGAGGAACTCCTTGACAGCGTCGTAGCGGATGCGGTAGTTGCGCGGGTCAAGGTGCGCCGGCCGGCGCCACGTCAGCGACATGCCGTGCGCGTGCACGCTGAGCGCGTGCAGGTTCAGCGGCACGTCGATTGGCTTCACGCGCACGCGGATCAGGTCCGAGAGACAGCCCAGACCCTGGGGGCAGACACCGCGGGTCAGGTCCGAGAGACGGCCCAGACCCTGGGGGCAGACACCGAGGATCAGGTCCGAGAGACGGTCCAGACCCTGAGGGCAGACACCGCGGATCAGGTCCGAGAGACGGCCCAGACCCTGGGGGCAGACGCCGCGGGCCAGGTCCAAGACGAGTGAGGTCCAAGGACCGGGTCAGGTCTGAGTCGCTAGCCAGGTCTAAGGAGCGGGTCATGTCCAGAGAGCGGGTCAGGTTCGAGGAACAGCCCAGGCTTTTTACTCCAAAAGTGGTGCGATTTTCAATACAGTCCCACAGCAATCGTGTCGACACGGCCGCATCAGACATTTGTGAGACTGCTGCTCACGGACATTCTGACGCGCATGTAATACTCGGTCTCGTACAAGGGACGAAGACAGCATGCCTTCCTGGCAAAACACGCCCCACACACTATGGGTTCTGTGCTTAACACCGAAACAAAATGAAGTGGCACCACATAGATCACCAGCGCATCCCTGACCGGACACGGAGCCGGTGGCCGGCCAGAGCTACCTGGCCGGCAGCCCCGGACGCCTCTAAGTCGCGCCCGACCCGTCGCTTACCGACTTGCTGCGCGCGGCCACCCCGATGGCGTACTGGGCGTGTTTGTCCAGGTTCTCCAGCTCAGCAGACGTGGTGATCGGCACCTTCTTGAACGACCAGGCGTCTAGGTCCGTCCCGGGCGCCATGGCGTAGAACACCCTGGCGGCCGCCCGGCTTGTCACGGTCCACAGGGCGACCACGGCGGCCGAGCGCCGCCGAGCGAGGACCCGACCGCCCCCGCCCGAGGACCCGACCGCCCCGCCCGAGGACCCGCCCGACCGCCGCCGCCCGAGGACCCGACCGCCCCGCCGCCCGAGGACCCGACCGCCGCCGCCGAGGGACCCGACCGCCCCAGCCCGAGGACCCGACCGCCCCCGCCCAAGGACCCGGCTGCCGCCGTCCGAGGACCCGACCGCCGCCGCCCGAGGACCCGGCCGCCGCCGCCCGACGACCCAACCGCACGGTAACACTGGGACGCCGACTAGTGTAACAACGGGCGTGCCTCCTCACCGACGTACAGATGCAGATGCTCCTGAAGGATTGTTACACGTCTGTATGGAGTTTTGAACGGAAATACTTGGAGAGCATTCGGTGTAGTTCACAGCCCTGTCATTTTCAAGACATAAACCCCGCTAGTTTCTGATCCACACTCCCGCCCGCGAAAATGTACATTACGGTGCGTTATCGAGAGGGTGAGTCTCTTGGAACCAACTGGAACAAGAGTTTTTCCTTGACACACGGATTAATGATACGCTTTCAGTTCTGTCGCACCGCACCAATGTTAATATCTGTGACGCGAGAGCAGTTTTTCTTTGATAGGCCAAGAAAGTCGCATTCGATACTAGCGCCACCTATTTTACGCACTGGGATCTTGCTCCAACAAGTCTGAAACTTGCCAGCCTTCTACACGACTAGTACCTATTGGATTAAGCATGAAACAAATATCATGAAGAGCACCGGTAAAGGATTGCCAAACAGCTTAAGCTGACTTTTCATTAAAGAACATTAATTTTCGGTGAAACCAAAAATTTATCGCCAGCAGACCGAGGTATGTTCCAGTTTGCGGTTGCTAACGCATCACTGTGATGTTGATTTGCAATTCATTTGCTTGTTGTGTGTGCGATATGAGTTCATTCGTTTAGTTTTGCCGGTACAGAAACATTTTTTCCAACAATTACTTGCATAAGCATGCCAAAGGCTACACGGTCGCGCAAAAATATTTTGTGATAGGCCACCCGGCTCTACTGTCCCACCACCAGCTGCCGACTACGGGAAAGCCTTGAGCTACATCAGGTGACTGAGCGAATCGAAGAGGAATCTCACTAATATCATCTTCAAGACCGCGACGATAGAAATCAGAGTACTGTGTACCAACGAAGTGATCCCTGTTCATGATCCAAAATACGTGACAAAATTGACCGAGAGGGATTTATATCAACGCAACAGAGCTACCAGCAAGAAATCAACGAAAGAAAGAGAGTGACACAGCAACGCCGCCACCGCGAAATTCAACAAGTTTCTTGATGTCGCAAAATGCAAGTGCAGGCCGACGTGCAGCTTTCCATGCCCAGTTGCCTGCACAGTGTATCAGGAGGAGGTTGCCATGAAGGACCAGTGCAGGTACCGGAAGCTTACCCTGGGGTCATATGACCGGGATACGATTGTGACTAGGGAGGCTTGCGAGGCGCGGAGGATGGCCAGACAACTCCAGGGGCGTCGTGGCTCGGCCACCATTGAGGCAGTGTCTGCTGCTGAACCTGAGTCGCCTTCCCCGTCGACTGCTGAGCCCGTGCCGCCCGCTGACCTAGCGCTGGCTGCTAGTGCTGACCCCAAGCCTGCTCCGGGACCAAGTGGTCTCAGCGCTGGCGTGTCAGCTGAGAGCACGGATTCTTACACGGTTCCGTACATGGTAGGAGGTGGCGACGACACCGATTGTTCGTTCCTGTTGAGACCGCTGCCACTGTAGATAATGACGTTAACGATCTAACACCGCTCTGGCGGTTGACAGCTATGGTGGCTCGCAACGGGTCGTTGCTGCTGTCATCGCCTTTCAACAAGGCAGCAGAGACGGACTGGCCACTTGAAATCTAATATCGTAGATCGTAAGATCTGCTGTGCAAGAGGCAGGGCGAGATAGGAGACGGCTCGTTAAAATGCTGAGGCAATCTATGAGTCAGGTTTGACCATCCTTTACTCCGACGGCCGCGAAGGCAGGAACTACATGAGCCACAAGGAGCCAGACGAATACCGTCGAAAAACACGTGGTTGTCATCGCTGAGCCTGGCAGCCGCTGCTACACTCATTTTAGGTCCGAGTTCGGCCGCACCCTGCACCTGCTCAACGAGCTACGCGCCGTGAGCCCGCAGCGCGACGGTCACATCAATGTGCTCAGCTGCGATGGCACGGTTGTCAACACCGAGACGGTAGGCATCGTGTTCCGGTTGGTTGAGCTGACCACCGAGTCACCCGTAAACCGGTTCATCTGCCAGCTGCACGGCAACGAGCTGAACCTCCCGCAATATCCCGAATTAACAACATGTGTGTTTAAACTTTATCTCGTATCGATTGACCTTTCATGCGCTCAGTTTTGAGCAGTTACTTATTATCATGCCTTGTGCCTTAGTACGTCGCATCACTTGTTCGTAGGTTCATACTTACTAGTATATTTGTTGATACGTATTCCGCAACATTTAAGGACTCTGGATATCGGCATAACTACATTCAACAAACAGCTGCAATATTTTGTGTGTGATTTAATGTTCAGTCCATAACGAAATGTTCTAACATATTCACTTCTGTCTTCAGATGGTTGACACTGGCCGCTGGCCTGCTCCTAGCTTGCATCCCTACCGAGACCTCCAGCAACGCTCTCCAGGACCTCGTCCAGTGCGTGGTCGGCCACTATGTGCCGGTATGGTCCGCCATCCGGCAAAACAGCGGCTGCGACTTTGGCTTACGCAACTTGTCTCGAAACATCGCGGGGCTCCGCGACTTGCCGCAGCACACATAGTCATCCAGCGTAGCGGGTGCTGGGTCCGTCCAAAACAGCTTGCTGCTGGACATGGTGTGGTATGAGAACCACATGGTCCGCGAACACGCGGTTCCGATCGTCGCGCCGCTCGTGAGCAGCAAACCGAGGGTCTTCTTCATCCCAGGGTCTTCGCCATCTCAGCGGTAAACTTCGAGGCCGTGAGGTACACCGAACTGATTTCCCTGGCACGGACCAGTCACACAGCCTCCAATGCGAGACGTCAGCGACTACGAGCTGCGGTACAAAGTGCAGGCACCGCTGGCCATCTTGCCCTATCTGGTTCACACTAGGAGTACGACGCCGCGCCGCACTGCCGAGGACGTCTGCGGCTGGAGCTGGAGCTTCGGCAATATGTGGAGCCCAGTTGCAAAGGTATTTCTGCTACTGCGAGATCTCTGCCAACAGGCGTTTTGGGTTTCCAGTCTGTGAGCAGTTGCTGTTTGGGCCGGTGCATCGAACAGGCAGGCTCGGCCGCGAGCAAGCTGTGCATGGGGGCACCCTACCCCTCCCCCTCTCTACGCACGTGGTACAAGCTGCTATATGCATTAAGTTGTGCACCAGACAATTTATTCTGAGTCATATGCTATGCATGGTATTGTTTGCATCACGGGAGTCGTTTCAGAGAAGTGAAAATCTAAAGCAGCACTAACCAAGATACCCGTGCGAGCTCATTCTCAACAGCACGTAGAGGTTCCGCCATACGTGAACCAATCAGCCAATGTCGGATCCGCATATTAGACCTTAGACCGGGACAATCTCGTACGACGGCCTAAGGAGCGCTCGGTAGCATCGTTTCCATACGCAATGGTATTTTGTATCGCTTGCCGCCACGGCTTAGTGTTACCTGCGGTGACGAACGCCGCCCAGCACTGGGTGAATGCAACGCCAGGCATCGGTTTACGGCGATATCTTTATCGTCTCGCGCGTCACGAAATTAAGTTTTTGGGAATAACTTTTGCTACGTCGTGTACTTTTGGACCCCTGCGCGAAAACTTCTTTGTCTCACTTGGTTTCGTTACTGATGACACACCCCAATGTACATACTACTTCGTGCCAACTATTTCAAGACTGCCAAGCCATCCTTCGCGGCACAATGTCATTCAAATCCTGCCATTCAACTGGCCACGCGGCGTTCAAGGTCAAGCAAATATAACTGTCAAGCCATTCATATGTAACGCTCGTGAGTGCGCTTGGCAGATAAAACGGCCGTCAACTGGCTCTCACTCAATGTTGTGCAAGGGAGAGCCAGGTCGAGGGCCCTGCAGGGACCACTCGGCCAACACGCGACTGATGTATGCACCCTGCCCCGGACAAGCGGGGTATTGCGAGCATTCAAGATGACGCAAGAAATACGATAAGACGATAAAATGGTCGGTCGGATATTCTTCACGAATCACGTTTTGTGCTGCGAAATACAAGAAGTCATGCATCCTGCCTATTTAGTGCGGAAAAAGACCTGTAATCGACAAACTTAAGAAAAGCGCTATAGCCGAGAGGTCAATAAAGTACACAGCCTAGAATCACGGAAAACAATATGCCAGAACACCAGCAAGGGCCAAAACACGAGCACGCTATTTGTCATGTCGCGAGTCCCGTCGTAACGATATTTGGTTCAGCACACAGCCATCATCACCACCCGGGAGGCTAACTGCCGGGGGATTGAAGAACTAGTGAGTGCCGTCACACAAGCGTTTCATGACGTAATCAAAAGGTGATCTATCGATGAGCATACTTACAAAAAAGAAACTATGTTGTCTATAGCAATCTTTTACACTTTAAAGCATAACGATAGTAATAAATGAGCTTCTTTCATTAAATCTGATGATTGATTTAATATCTTCCAATGTGGAACATTCCCTTTTTTCCCCAAGGACGGCAAACAGGAGATGGACAGGACGTACGGCATCGGAGACGAAGCAAACGCTTGCGATGAGCCGCGGCCCCACCCCACCAACAGACATACCCGCCCGCCACATGACGTTCGCGCCGGTTGGGCGGCCGCGGCGTGGTGCCGTCTCGGCCCCGGGTCTCGCCCACTGACCTGGTATCCGACGATCTGTGTGGCGGTGTGCACGTGCTCCCACCACACCTCGACGCTTGAGAAGCTGGTGGCCATGGCGCGCAGGTTGATGGGCGGCCGCACCAGGTCACTCTCGGTGCTGACCGAGAAGGGCGCACTCCACGGCCCGGCGCCCACCGACGTGTTGGCGCGCGCCCGGAACACGTACGCCGTGCTCTCCTCCAGCTTGGTGAACACCACCTGCATGGCACACGGCGGCCTGACGGGCAGCACGACTGCGCGCCGAGGAGAGCGCGCCGCCATCGCTCGCAACGCTACCGTAAGTCACGGTACACCGAACACCTGACGATTAAAACAAAGGCGTTCTTTGATCACCGCGGCCGCCAACGGGGCCCAGCACGAAAAGGGTCCCTGCTTATCTGACAGTGTGAGAGCAGTGCTAGACTAGCTCTCAAGCACTGAAGTTCAGTTTGTTATACCAGCCGGAGTCGGCCTAATGCGTCGGCCTCTGCCAGCTATGCCAGGACAGGGAGGAGATGGGAGGCACGTGCGGGACCGGATGTCGCAAACCTTGGTGTCGTTGGGGTGCATCCGCTCCACGTGGTCAAGGTTGCCCTCCTTGTGGAGCTGCACACTGTAGCCGGTGATCTTGCCGTTTCGCTGGTCTGATCGTGGCGGATCCCAGGTGAACGCCACCCGATCGGTCGCCTGGAATCTGGCGACACACCGCCGGCGGGCGCGGTCAGTCCGACATCGCCCGCCGGAGGGCACGTCATCACCCGTCGGAGAGCATGGTCAGTACGACATCACCCGCCGGAGGGCACATCACCCGCCGGAGGGCACGACATCGCCCGCCGGAGGGCACGACATCACCCGCAGGAGGGCACGGTCAGTCCGACATCGCCCGCCGAAAAACTAGCACCAGCAGCACCTGTGGCAAACGCGTCGTTATCCGCAAACCCGTGTCCCGGTTTTACTTATGGCCAACAGCCGCGTGCTCCCCCGTGCGTGACAACGGATCAGGCACGTCGAGAGGTCCGAATGGGGGCCGCCAGGATGAGCTTTTAATTACGTGGACACGGCACAGCAAAGCCCGCTCCCATTCTAGCCGCAATACCTGCAGCGATCTGTTCGCCCAATGCAAATGTGGTCTAAACCTGTTTTGTCTGTTTGTAAACCTGTGAACCTGTGAGCCTGCTTTACCCTTTTATGTGATGTTTTATTACGCTTTCATCTCATTTTTTCATTTGATCGGAGCATTTAGGTGGCATGGGTTTCCGGTGTCGGTAAGTTCACGCTAAACAGCCCATGTTCTGTGAACCTTAATCCCACCAGGCGGTCGTACAGTTTCAGATCAAAGGCAGAATTCTGTGCGGAAGTTTGGCGTGTCGTAATCCTCGGCACAGTCCACTGCGCCCTATAGCCTCATGTGACCTTGGGCGGCCGCTACCACCGACCGCAAGTCATCCCAGCCAAGGGTCAATAGCGAGAGCGGAAGCGACTCGAGTATATCATTACTGCGCGGAAGATCACACGAGACAAGATACCAAGATCGCACTACATTCCTCACGAAGCGCAAAATCCGCTGGCGCCAACAACGCTGGTACGCTGGCAAATTAGGCGCGTTTTGAAGTCAAAAGCACACAATCGTCTGAAATGCCCCCAAACCGAGTAAAGCCGCGGAATAAAAAATGATATATGTAGGAATGGATTGTATCATCTCTGAACAATTATCGCTGACATCCTGTAGTTTTGTAGCAAAGGCATGCAATACATGGCCAAAAAGGCATCCAGAATGTTAAGGAGTACGATTCTTCGCAAAAGCCAGAGAAAACAATCGTAAGACATTAATAGGTTCATTGATTACAATATACCAAATGCATGAAACGAGAGAAAATTACAGGGTGCTACTGCTGTGTCTTGGTGTTTTAGGACGCGCCGACTGCAGTGGTCATTTTGTGCCCATTTCAAAAATGTATTGGTCGTTTGGTCAAATTCGGTCATTTAAAAGGGCAAATTTGTTTATTTCCTGCCCTTCCTCCCCCACAGCCCACATACCATGTTTCCTGGCGGCTACGCTGGCCAGGTACTGAGTCGCCACTGCTGACGCGTCGGCAGCGGCGCCCCGCCCGGCCGCCACCCACCTGAACGTGACGTTGGTGACGGGGCCGGACGGCGCGCCCTCGCTCGCGTTGTACGTGATGATCTGCTCCTGGCCGTGGCCGACGTCGTTCCGGCCGCTCACGCGAAACTCGTACTCGACGCCACGTTCTGCCGGCCGGCCGCGACGGCTCAGCCCGGGCCAGCCAGCCGACTCAGGTCTGACTCACGGCAGGAATTACGGCCGGACTCATGACAGGACTCACTGCAGGAGCCACGACGGTGCTTACGGCGGGACTCATGACAGGACTCACTGTAAGAGCCACGACGGTGCTTACGGCGGGACTCATGACAGGACTCACTACAGGAACCACGACAGTACTTACGGCGGGACTCATGACAGGACTCACTGCATGAGCCACGACAGTACTTACGGCGGGATTCATGACAGGACTCACTACAGGAACCACGATAGTACTTACGGCGGGACTCATGACAGGACTCACTGCATGAGCCACGACAGTACTTACGGCGGGATTCATGACAGGACTCACTACAGGAACCACGACAGTACTTACGGCGGGACTCATGACAGGACTCACTGCATGAGCCACGACAGTACTTACGGCGGGATTCATGACAGGACTCACTACACGAACCACGACAGTACTTACGGCGGGATTCATGACAGGACTCACTACAGGAACCACGACAGTACTTACGGCGGGACTCAGGACTCGGCGGGCACGTGTCCGGTACACGGCGGTGGGAGTAGGGCGCACGACAGCGCGTTGCCAGCCACGCCACTGGAAGCGCGCGCGTGCACGCGTGTGTGCGTGCGTACGCGGACACACGCACCCACCAACACCCACACCAACACTCACACTCACACTCACACTCACACACCCACCCACGAGGGGATTGGCGGGTCGGGGCGGAGAGGAGACACGCGAATTGGCCTCTCGGGGGCCGACTAACCCAGGTCGCTGAGCCGTTTGTACTGGGTCGTGTTTCCGGCGATGGTGACCTCCCTGAGCCTGGCGGCGTCGCCCGTCCGGCCGTAGCGCAGCCGGTAGCCGAGTAACACACCGTGCGTCTCGGTCGGGCGAGACCACTCCACGTCCAGCGTCACCCGCTCCTCCTCCTTGATCACTCTGCCGGACACGTGCGCATCGGTCAGTCCCTGACGAGCTGGCGCCCACTGTCGGTCCACACTCTTCCGGCCTTCAGCATTTCCCTGAAGCACCACGACCACAGTACTCATCAACACAGTGCTCATTACAGTACTCACCAACACATCATTCATTACAGTACTCATCAACACAGTACTCATTACAGTACTCATCAACACAGTACTCATTACAGTACTCACCAACACAGTACTCATTACAATACCCATCAGGACAGCACTCATTGCAGTACTCATCAACCGTGGTCAAGCGCACGATTTCAGCCAGGGACGTCTCGCCGCCGCCAAGAGCCGGTCCGGTGCAGCGCACACTGCGGGCGCCGCTCGCACCGCAGCCACTCACTTGATGAGCACGTCGGGCTGGCTGGGCACGCTGCCCTGTGTGGTGGCACGCGCCGCGTCGCTGCGCGAGCCGTCCCCCTTGCGAGTGAGTGCCGACACCTGGCGGCGGCGCATCGACACAGCTCAGGCTCGCCGACACGGCCGCAGGCGTCAGACGATGGTCGGCCGCGCCCAAGGAGAGCACCGCACGGAGCGACCAGAGCACGCCACAGGCACCGGTCGGCCATCACCCCAACTGGTGGCCAGCTTACAGAGTAGACTGCGACGACCCAGGCAGCGCATGCAGCTTGCTTTCGTTGCAAGGCCAGCAGCGCTGTCTGCGCACCACGTCAACACCGACACCGACAACCCCGCGTGCGCTCGCATGACACCGCACGACCACGCCACCCCACCCAACAGCCCACCCAACACCACGCCCACCCAACAGCCGCCGGAGCATCCACCCCTTCTCCCGGCGATATCTCATGTCTCTCGCCGCCACCTCTCCCACCAGCCGACCAAGGCCCGGGGCGAACAGAGGCGTGGGACAGAGCCCGGCGGCCGGCGCGTCCACCCACCCGGAACAGGTAGGAGGTGCTGGGCTGCAGGTCGGCCGCCGTGTAGTCGGCCGCCTCGCCGTCGCGGATCTCGTAGCGTCGCGGCCGGGACGAGCGGCCGTTGCCCTGCCGAGCGGCGCGGCACAGGCGTCAGGCGGGCGCCAGGCGGACGGCCGCCCAGCAGGACCAGGCTGGCACACGGTGACGTGATCGGTGACGTCATCCCTGCCACATCCTCAGATCGCGCAAACGCTCCAAATTCTTTTTCATTCCGTAAGTTCTTCAGTGCATCACAGAGGATCATTAGCCACATAGACAATACAGCAGCATTAGCCTTGCTCCCCCGAAAAAAAAACAGGAAAAACGTTGGTTAAAAATCAAAACTGGGCGTGCGCATAGCTTGGAAAAAACGACAACCAGCTTAAAGTCTGTGGTGAAACCTTCCATCTCGAAGCCAAAGTGGCCGGGTGGCAACAGATGTCATTTAGGCAGTTCTGGGTTCCGAGGGGTTTGCACGCAAAAAACGTGGTTTACGAAATCAAGTGTGCACTTTGTGAAAAAACATGGGAGGGACATACTGTATGCCGGGGAGTCCATGCGCCCTATTCGTTTGAGATATAAAGAACACTTGCGAGGCGCTAAAAACAAAACAGGGAATACCCGTTTCGATGACTACTTTCTGGCAAAACACGCTTAGGCTGAAATCGAGGGAAGTATGGATCCTATCCCTCTTCTAAAGCTCAAAGTCATCCACAGAACACAGGACCACCCATACATGAAAATGAGTGAATTTATTTTTATAAAAGTCGGCGACCAAATCTTAACATGCAGGGCCCACCATGGCCGATTATGCGAGTGTGATATGTGCCTTTATGTGTGATGTGTGCTAGCTTAAAATCGTTTACATGTGTAAGTGATGCCTGTCGCGCGACGCGCGCTGCCTGTTCAATTGAAATCGTTTGCACGCATAACTGTTGCGCGATGTGTGATGCCTGTTTGCTTCAACTTGCTTATATGTTCGAATGAAACGTGATGCGTGATGTCTATTTGCTTGAAGTCGCTTGCATGTACACGTATGTTCGGGCTTTCTACTTCTCAGGTAGGCACGGTATCTTGGTAATGGCTGCCAATCGCTCTTTGTTTAATCCTCTGAATGTTGGTGTCCAGTAAAAACTGTGGCTTGCTCTTTCCAAAAAAAAAAACAACTGAAAAATCGAGTAAGAGCATCAGCAGGCAATTCTAAATTAATGTCTGGTATTGTTTCAATAAAGGCATATTGCCGAAATATCAACCTAACTATATCTCTATTCTCCTGTTTTTTCCGAGGAATAAGGCTAATGCTAGTCTAATTTTTCATTCCTGTGTAGTGTAACTAGTTCTGGCATAGTGTTGTTTTACGCGACACGCAGAGAGAAAAACCCATGTCTAGGATATTTAATTTCTAAGGCGAGCTTGCCGATGTTCACTCGCTCTCCGGGCACATTTCTTGAGTCGTGAAGGTGTTTGCTGCTGGAGATAACACCGCGCCCATCTTCGTTCAATGTCGTTGACCACGTATTTGTTAGTCTGGTGTATTTGTTCTGAACCTCTAATTTTGTCACAGTATATAACTTGAACTACCATATAGACGTGCGCATTTTACAGAGTGAAGCGCATAAAGCATAATCTTAAGTCCAATATCAAAGCACTCGGCCGCACTTGGGTGCGGCCCCACTTCCACCGCTGGCCCGGGCCTGGGCCCTAGCCGGCCGGTGACTGGCGCCGGTGCTAGACCAGGCCGGCTGCACGAGGCTGGCGTCGGTCGGACCGCCTCACCTCCGTGCCTAGCTCTTGCACGAGGACCTGGTACCCGAGGATCAGGTCGTTGCGCTCACGGTCCGTGGGTAGTGACCAGGTGAGCCGGACGGCCGTCGAGTTCAGCACGCGGGCGGTCAGGTTGCGCGGCTTGCCCGGCACTGTAGGAGCGGCGCTCAGCTCAGTCCGGCCGCCAGCCCCGCACACACACAGCACGCCCAACACCGGCCACGCGGCCACTGCCGCTAACCAAGCGCTGCCACAGCGCCGCCGCACACGGCGCCTGCCTAATCACTCACAAGCAGAGGAGATGGGAGCCGACGTTACGTTAGCAGGGATCAGTGTCTGTACAGCGCGGCTCACTGGCCGAGGACTAGCCCGCCTGGGTTATGAGAAGAACGCCATGGCAAACGCGAACACGACACCCAGCTATCTATATGGCGACAGACGCGCTCGAGTCATTGTTTGAACAGAGACAAATAGAGGGACATAGAGCATGCCAAGTGGGTATTGAGAATTGACAGCCGGCGCGGTGACCTGTTGACGTGGGCTAACCGCGACTCCGCTGACTTGTGTGCTCGCCCCATTCTCCACCGCTCCTCCCCCAGGCCCCGACCCCTCCTCGGAGACGGTAGAGGGAAACTACGTCCGTCAAGTTGGCACCACATTCACATTCAGATTCAGGTCCATATTCGCGATCCAGCTGGCTCCTCAAATTACCCTGAAACTTTGCACGCAGATGCAGTTTAACCTCCTGAACACAATGAGCACAAAATCTCGGACCGGTACGCCCTGTTACCGGAGATATATCAATATCAAAGATTGAGTCAAGGATGAAGAGAATGGGTTCCACGCCTCATATTCGTCATACCTAGGCAGCTCGGCATTTGAAAAGCTATAACTTTTTTGATACAGCGTACCGGTCCCAAATTTTGTGTTTATCGTAGAGGGCTAATATGTACCCACACGCGGATTTCGGAAAGGATTGAAGGAGTCCGCATTTTTTTATTGTGATCTTTCATACTGTGATATCTCCGGTAATAGGGCGTTCCGGTCCGAGATTTTGTGCTCATTGTGTTCAGGAGATCCAACTGCATCTGTGTGCAAAGTTTCAGGCCAATTTGAGGAGCCCGCTGAATTTCGAATATGAAACTGAGTTAAGCATGATAAAGTGCAATACGTGCCGCATTCACGACCTTGACATCATAACAGCTATAACTTTTTTGATACAGCGTACCGGTCCCAGATTTTGTATTTATCGTAATCAGTAGGTCAATATCTAGTAGCACGCGGAGTTTAGAAAGAATTGAAGGGGTCCGCCTTTTTATCGTGATCTTTGATATTGATATATCTCCGGTAATAGGGCGTAGCGGTCCGAGATTTTGTGCTCATTGTGTTCAGGAGATCCACCTGCATCTGCGTGCAAAGTTTCGGGGCAATTTGAGGAGTCCGCTGAATCCCGAATATGGACCTGAATCTGAATGTGAACGTGGTGCCAACTTGACGAACGTAGGGAAACTGTTACCAGCGCCAAGGGTGTGCTTCACGGCATCCATGGACACCACATCGAACCGCTACCACCTACGCAAGGTGATGAGGGAAAACGTCCAGGGCCGAGCTCGGCCATGCAAACGGCTAACGACAACGGTTGGCGGCCGAATCTGGCGGCACTCATGTCCGGACTGGCCGAGCTGGCGGCCACAGAGTCTTCAGTACTCACTGCCGGCCTTTCAGAGATGGAGGACCACGCATAGTCACGGGAGGAGGGGAGAGAGAAACAGAGAAAGAGAGGCCAGATATCAAATCACCGCACACCATGTTGACCAAAAACAAACGACAAGCAAAAGTTACCCGGCCCTCGATGCGCGCACAATGGGTCGGGGGGCGCATCGGTGCCCTAAAATAGTGGCGGGATGTCAAAATTGGTGACCACTGAGAGCTACAGACCAGAAGGCCCTGTGAAAGAAGACCATGCGCAACGAGTGTCAAGTGATGCCTACGACAGGCCTACTGAAGAAACAGAGCAAACCCCTCCAGATACGTCAACCAGAGCGCAAGCGCGCTGCTGATGCACAAATCAATTGATGTCGTTAGAACGGCCGTTTCGGCCCTTATCGCATGCTTCATGAGGCTTCCTTCACGTCTCTATGGTCTAAGTGACCCCCGCCTGAACACTCTACACCTTTGCTACAGCCCATAACCCTTCTTGAAGACGGCTAATGCTTGGTAACACTTCTGACAGCGCCCAGATCACACACCGCACACCTTTGGGCACTGTCTCAATTCCGGGGCTCTTCTGCGTGACGAAGCATGGGGAGGCGTCCGCCACACAGAACGCACAGCCAGTTATCCCGGCCGCCTCGTGTTCAGCAGGCCCCCAAGCACCATGGCACGGCCCATGGATACATTTTCTCGGCAAACAGCAGCGGTAGCAAACCCTGTCTGCCATGGCTTGGACTGGCCACAGCGCCCGACGGCGCCGCGTCAGAAATGATAGTTGGCAGCACGGAAGTTGGCATTCTAGCCGGTCAGGCCGACCAAGCGCAGACGGCCACGGCCGCCTGGAATCAAGCGGTGGCGATTCTGGGGTGTGAACACGTCCGCATCGGCCAGCCCAACGCAATGTATCGCTAGGTGACAAGCCGAGTGTTCCCGGCACACACACCATGAAGTGTTATGAATGAGGAATCTCTAGCCCCCGCAAAACGGGTGCCACGTTTTCATCTCAGTTTTGAGGGGGTCTGCTGTTTCGAGCAGTACCTTTTGGTTCACCTTCACCTGACCGGAGCCGGCTTTTTTTGGCGTGTCTGAAGCTAAAAAACGACCCCGACCGTCCTCATGAGTTAATTTGACGTCTTGCCCAGTGCGCGTGCTCTAACCCCTCCCAGCCCACTCCTCGGCTGGAAAGGGTACCTATTTACGATTGCGTATGCTTGCGCGCTGGAAATGTGCAATAAAACTGTGCGCTAGGTCACAAAGAGTTGCTAGTGACAGATAAAGAGACAAAACACCAAAAAGAGCGAGAAAGAAAGGCATCTCAGTCCGCACCCGGATCCGTGATGCTACATAGAAAGGTTCATGGCGACATACCGTCTTAAACGCAGTTTGACCAAATGCCAGCGGTTCATTCCCAACACAGTACATATCATATTTCCTTTAAAGCCACCTGGATATATAATAGAGCTCCAGACCTTCCCCTGCGTAGCACTGGGTGAGTTTGGTGCTTTTAGCCATGAGCAATGTTTCCTGGCGTCTGACAGTGGGGGGACCGGTACGGACAGGGACGCAGAAATCCTTTTCGCAACATCCTGAGGTACGGCTGCACGTTTCCCGAAATGCTCCAAAGCGCCCGCAAAAACAGGAATGTCATCCTGGTGGCTGGTGTTGGTAGCTAGTTCTAGTGGTTTCAGACGGTTTTCAGTGGTTGCTTCCCCCCCCCCCCCCCACACACGAAACCGGGCTCCAAAAGCGCAAGATACTTTGGCCCAACGAAGCTTTAGTGCAGGAGATTTCTTAAGATGGGATATCAATAAAGGAACGAAACGATGCCGGGCGATATCAAGACGCTTTCGGAAAATCTCCCCGATCAATTTTGAGTCGACGCCACGACCACCCGACCAGCTCCCAGCTCATCAATGAAGCGGATGTGATTCAGGCTGCAGCGGCCTGCGCCCCCCCCCCCCCCCCCCCCGAACCCCGTACCAGCCGGCCCGGCCGGTGGAGGCCGCGAGCCGGCGCAGCCGGAGCACGCCAGCCAAACATCCGTACGGAAAGCAGCCAGAACTGTACGTGAGACGGCGATCGGACGCCCGCCAGTGCCAGGCACGATGTGAGGTCCGATGTGTATATATATATATATATATATATATATATATATATATATATATATATATAAGTGGAGTATAAAGTGAGACTACTGTGCACGCAAAACAACAACATGGTGTGAGTGCACGGTGCTGATCATTCCGTGGTGCTCGAATACAAAGCCAAAGTACCGGCCCAGACAATTACCATACTCCTCGGTGCGGAACGGGACGACCGGCGTGGCAGCACCCTCGCCTCTGCCAGAGACGGCCGCCACCCACACGTAGTACAGCGTGTTCGGGTACAGGTCCTTCATCTCATAGCGCTCGTGCAGTGGCACCACCATGCGCCGCTCCACCTGCGGAGATCGGGTCAAACGAGGTGAGGCTCGGTGGCCGGCCGCCGGCCGTCGCGGCCGGGCGGCGCCACCAGACCCCATGCGGCTGCCACCACTGGTAGCGCGAGTGGCTGCGCCGAGCCCAGCCAGCCGCGAGCGGAGGGTGGCGCCGCGTCACCCCGGTCCTCTCCCTGGCGCCGCCGGCTACCGGCCCGGCCGCCGCCGCCGCCGCCGTAGCCGCGGGGCTTCGCGGGTTCGGGCTAATTACGGGCGCCATTGCGCCAACAGCGCCAATCGGCTCAGGAATGCGGCCGGGCGTCGGCGGCAGTTTGCCTGCAGGGACCCCCAGGCGGCGGTCCGGCACCGTGTCGATCGCGAGCAGTACGGAGCCAGGCTTTGATCGGTGCAGAGCGGCGGGCACGGCGGCGTCCAAAGCCCGAACACTGAGACACCCGCGCCACGCGCACAAGACGCGCCGCCGTCGGGACCCGCCGCCAGTCAGTCAGCTGATGATGTGGGGATCGCTCGCTGCCAGAGCCAGTCCGCTTAGAATCCACACCCGACTCATTTGTCGTCTGGGAAAAGCCGCCGTGACCGAGCGTCTACAGGAGCTACTCAGTGATGCGCACAAACCACATCCGCACGCATACGAACAAGCCTGTCGCAAAGACGGACCGCTAGCATCGCCATTCGGACTGAAACAGAGAGGTGCGCTATAGCCTCAGCAGGCTGCACGCTTCAGCCCCGCCGGCGACCATGGCCGTAGCGGGGAGCTTGTGGCCGCCCGGATAACCCTCGACGCTACCCTCCAGTCCCAGAGCAGGAGCTCCAGTCCGCATCAAAACTGGTCACAGAGAACGATACTGTGCAATATCTCACCATAAAACAAAGACGATAAAACAATGACCCTAACTTATGTCAATCGATCGCCTCCGCTGAATGACGACGAATGACGTGAAACCACGCGTGAAGATGCCCAGCAACTGCTGATGACGTGAGCTGATGCGGACATAGCACCGGCTCCAGCTGAGCACTGCTGGTAATGTGAGCTGATGCGGACATAGCACCGGCTCCAGCTGAGCACTGCTGGTAATGTGAGCTGATGCCGACATAGCACCGGCTCCAGCTGAGCACTGCTGGTAATGTGAGCTGATGCCGACATAGCACCGGCTCCAGCTGAGCACTGCTGGTAATGTGAGCTGATGCGGACAGAGCACCGGCTCCAGCTGATCACTGCTGGCATCCGGCGGTCTGGGATTTAAATGTGACGACACCATATCGCGGTGACGTGATTCAAATAAACACACAGATCTGTGCAGCTCACAGGTGCTGCCCTGTCCGGGCAGCAGCAGCACGGAGGGACCGATTACACGCCCTGATGTCGCTCACGACGAATCTAGTGGAAGGGAACGACCGCAAGATCGCAGCAACTCCCTCCCAGTTTGGCTTCCGGGAAAATCGGAGACCGGAGCTACGTCCGCCTCGATACATGTGATGAGGCGGGTCTGGGCTCCCCGTCCACCTGGGCTATCCCGCCTGGCCGTGCTGTCACATCCCTCGCCAGTCATCTCCAGCTCCCGCTGTGTCAGCCGGCACTGGGCCGGCCCAGCCCACCAGAGCAATAAACACAAGTGCAATAACGCGCAGCACGCCTGTATTGATGCGCAACGCGCGCCAAAGAAACGAGAGAGAATCCCCCCTCCCCCGCCCCAAACGGCTGATCGCAAGACTTCCAAAACAAATAAAATTGGCGTTTGTGATATTTTTCTGCCTTCATATGTGAGCTTAGAGTGAATACACACGATGACGTCACGAATAAGCTTTTGCCGCAACTTATTTGATTTAGAATGAACTGACCTATGCTCACCAAAAGACTGGCATATGCGATTTTTCTTCTGTCTTCATATGTGATGTTCACCGATCGTTTGAGAAACATTTCGCATCTCTGTCCAGAGCATGTTCGGAACTTTCCACAGATCTTGTAGTGCACAAATGAAGGACGTATGGACGCGATGGCCGTGCGGCACCCAGCTCCGCGCTATCACCGGAGCGTGCCATCATCGGAGCGTACCATCACAGGAGCATGCCATCATCGGAGCGTACCATCACAGGAGCATGCCATCACCGAAGCGTACCATCACCGGAGCGTACTATCACTGGAGCGTACCATCACAGGAGCATGACATCACCAAAACGTACCATCGCAAGAGCGTGCCATCATCAGAGCTACCATCACAGGAGAGTGCCATCATCGGAGCGTACCATCACAGGAGCATGCCATCATCGGAGCTACCATCACAGGAGCATGCCATCACCGGAGCGTACCATCACAGGAGCGTGCCATCACCGGAGCTACCATCACAGCAGCATGCCATCACCGGAGCGTGCCATCACAGGAGCATGCCATCACCGGAGCGTACTATCACTGGAGCGTACCATCACAGGAGCATGACATCACCAAAACGTACCATCGCAGGAGCGTGCCACCATCGGAGCTACCATCACAGGAGCGTTCCATCATCGGAGAGTACCATCACCGGAGCATGCCATCATCGGAGCGCGCCATCACAGGAGCGTGCCATCACTGGAGTGCACCATCACAGCAGCATGCCATCATCGGAACGTACCATCACAGGAGCGTGCCATCATCGGAGCGTACCATCACAGGAGCGTGCCATCACCGGAGCGTACCATCACTGGAGCACGCCATCACCAGAGCGTGCCAGCGACGACGGCGTCGAGCGACAGCTGCCCGGCCGGGCCGGCGGCGGGCGGCGGTGGCCGTCGCCGGCGCGCCGGCGCGTGCGTCACTGCCGCCCGTCCTGCCGTCCGTGTCACCGCCTCTCGAGAGCCGTCCTGTCGCGCCCAGCTGACCCAGAGGGTGCTCGTCCTCGCCGGCGTGTCGTCGTCGCCGCACTCCACCGCTAGGCGGCCGGTCGACAGCGCCAAGTGCCCGGGACCACGCCCGGGAGAAAACGTGGCGCGCGCCATCCAGCACCGCGCTTCCAACACACGGCGAGCAGAGCGTGCAATGAGAACGTTACGATGCCAGCCGAAAGCCTGCACAACTCCAAGCTCCGCGGAGGCGCCGAAAGGACGGGCCGAAGAGTTCGGTCCACCGCGCCTCCGATCACAGAGTGACAGCATTCGCCAAAAAGCGCACATGCGCTGGGTCTGTGCATCTCAGCGTTCCACGATGGAAAAATAACTCGCCAAGTACGTAACACAACGCTAAAATTTCAAATATGCTTGAAAGAAGCTTTTGAACGCATGGCCACCGGTGGAGTGAAGGCATTCCATGCCATTTCCAGAAACAACTAAAAAACTGTTCCAGATGGGTCCACCAACTTTTCAACGCACGCCAAACATCAGCTGGACACGCTTCAGCAGAATGCTGATGCCGCTGCTATGTCGGGCCAGTGAGACATGACAAAAGCTAAGGTTTACATGGCTGGCTGCGCTTCTACAAGCAGCCAAGCAGCTAATTTATCCCACACAACTAACGGATCATGCGCTAATGCTCCAATGCGCACCTCCAGACGGTCGTGGGTTATCATCTATCCCCAGACAGTACCTGAATATCTCTTACGCGGGTCACACACGGGTTTCGTCGTATGATAGAGCGGAGGCGGGCAAACACCTCCGTGGCTTTTGACAAACACGCCACGTCTCTGGCATCACGTGGAAAAACCGCCTTAAAACAGGTTGATTCTTTCCCAACTGTTACCTCGTGCTAGATCCCCTAAAGTATTTCTGGTCACATGTTGACGCCTGCAATGGAATGTTTATGAGGCAAAACGGATTAATCAGAATTTGTGCTATCAGCGGCATGGAAGAGTGAGGAGTGGCTATGACTGATTTTCAGGCCGTTGTCGGCCGACCCCGTCAACAAATGAGCAGCTGCCTCCGCCGGACTTCTGCCAAAGTTGGTCGGCCGAGCGGCGGGCCCAGTGGCCAAGAACGCGAGTCGTCGAGCCCAGTTGCTCAGCTGAGGGAGCAGCCTGCCTCCGGCGCTCCCGGCGTCGCTCCGCCCCTCCCGGGAGTTCCCGGCGCTCCGGAAAACACTGCCGTCAGGCCGAACTCGACCGCCTCTTCAACCGACCCACCCGGGCGGTCGGCTCCCGTCGGCACCGGCGCGACGCAGCCGGAGGCAAAACACGCCTATCGCCTTCAATCAGACCGATCACGGCACGCCATCGGCCGCGAACTTAGGACCCGGACAGCCGAGCCGCGCTCGCAAAACTGACACAGGAACGCCGACCAACTGGCACCAACTCAAACGGCGTCCGTGTGCGGCGCCGGGGGACCGACGGCGGCCCGGCGAGGCGGCAGCGGCTCAAAGAAGGCCCCGCCGCATTACCGGATGAGCGTCGTCACCGTAAACTAAAGCGGCGGCGAGAGGAGACGCCGCTGATGCGCCGGAGCCGAGCCGTCTGAGCCGGAGGGCGCCGCAGGCGGGCCGCACCACGCCGCCGCGGCCCGCTTGCCGCCAATACACGGCCGGCCCGTGACGGACGGCGCCGGGCCACGAGCGCGGCCGAGCGGCAGCAGCCACTCCGCGGCAGAGGTGGGCGACGGCCGACCGGGCGGCGGCGTCGGGACACAAGTACACAGCGGCACGGACACAGGCGAGACAGCAGTTTGGACAGAGAAGTTGATGTTGTCTCGCTCGCCAACCAGCCAGTCAGCCAGCCACATAAACACACGCTGCAGAGATAGATACGGGACAGCATCATTAACACAGAAGAGGATGACACCGGCACAGACGAGACAGCAGCATTTGACACAGAGGGTACGGAAGCACTGACACATACACCAAAACCGACACAGACACAGACGGGACCGAGATACCGGCACCCATCACACAGCAGCACCGACACACCGGCCTCGACCGAACAGCGACAAAGACACAGACGGGACCGAGATACCGGCACCCATTACACAGCAGCACCGACACACCGGTATCGGCCGAACAGCGACACAGACACACACGGGACCGAGGATACCGGTATACGTAGGCACGCCACACACACACGCACGCACGCGCGCGCGCCACACACACGCACACACACACACACACACACACACCAACCTATTCACGTCATTCTGTTTTGTTGGGGACATGTGTGCTGGACCTTGTTTGTGGGTACACCACCAAAACGGGCCTATAATTAGTACAGTTTAACCCTGAAACGCCCCATTAGAACTGATTAAGGCCTAATTCGGGCTTAGCCCCGCAAATATACCACAATCTAAACAGCGTGTATTGACACAACAGAGATTTAGAGATGGTGCGAAAAATTTGGCCTATGGGTACATTACTCATGCCCATATTTGGCACGTCCCCACATACCATGCCATTTACATTGTGTGTGTACACCAGTGAGACAGCCGTCCATAAGGGAAGATCGGGGAATCGGAATCACCGTAAAGCAGCTGTCGTGTGGCAGCAGAAGCCAATGACAAACAGATCCCACAGCACTGACTGATAAGCGAATGAACTTCCGGAAGCCCGAACAACAAAAACTGAACGTCAATGTTCGTCTGGCAGCAGATACAGCGTTTGAGAGCGTTTTCCTCACCAATTATATGCTTATCTGAGAACACGCAACATGTTGCGACGTGATAACATGTTGCCGGCAGGCGGGCGAGCCGACACAGCCGACCTGCCGATACAGCCGGCCTGGTCACGCTACAGCACGGCCCGGCTGCTCCAGTGAGCAGAGCCGACTGTCCACTGGTGCACCGACAGCCACGCTCTGGACGGGCTCCTCTCTGGGACGTCACGGGATGACCGTAAAGTGGCCCACAGATCGCTGGCCCGTCTGTCATTCGATCGCAGTCGCTGTCGGGAGCCGCTGTCGCCGACGCCGGGCAGTGCCTGGCCGCCCTCTGCGGAGGCCTCGGGGCGCGCCGAGCGGGCGGAGCGCGCCGGTCAAGAGCGCGCGTCCGCAGGTCCGGTCGCTCACCTTCTCATACGTGTCGTTGTAGTACACGACGTAGTTGATGATGCCCCCCCTGGAGTGCACGGGCCGCTCCCAGCTGAGGACGGCCGTTGTGGCGCCCTTCTCCACCACGTCCAGGCCGTTCGGCTGGCTGGGCACTGCGGCGGTGAGCGCGTCCGGTCAGCCGCGCCGCACACGCCGCCCACGCCCGACCCCGCGACCGACACAGCGGCCAGCACTGGGCCAGGTGGTCGCCATGGTCACCCACACAGCGGACCAGCCCGTCCACGGCGGCCCACTCGGAAGCAGCGTCAGCCCCACAGACGTGTGACATGTCAGACAACTCACAACTGCCCATTGTCTGAAGTCGCACCGGCCGACGCCCGCCCTCTCCGCCTGGCAGCGGGCCACAGGTTCGCCAGGTGACGAGGTGCCATGTCAGCGCTCCACCCGGCCGGTGTCACGGCCCCCTCCCGGGGCGGCAGACGCCAGCCATTACACCCGTACACACGCCATTGTCGCGGCCGTAACCAGCAATAAGGGCCCGATCTCCGGCGACTCTGGCGGCGCGGCCGCCGCCGGCCAGCCCCGCCGCCGCCGCCGCCGGCGGACCCAGGTGTGGAAGTAGCCGGCAGTCGGACCAGCCCTCGCAGCCAGTGGAGACCCGGAGCTAAGCTTAACACGCATTGCCAAATGAGGCTATTAAGTGACGAAGAGGTTTCTGTCAACTTTAATTGACACAGTTCAGGAAGATCCAAGAGGTACTCAATCTCATATTTCATGTAATCAAATATGGCTCCTTCTGGAGCACTGGTTCCGCTCAGACAGCCGGCCGAGTTCAGGTTTCGTTAGCTCGTGAAATGTCATCAGCGACTCCATAAAAATGGACACGCCGACGAAGAGATCCAGACTTTGAAATACCCTGCGGGCCTTTCCGACAGATTTGGACAATCGTAAAAGCATGCAGAACTGTCGGAAGGCTCGAGGCAAAAGGGCATCGCCGGTAATTTGACACTATGCGCGTTTTCCCACGGGTCCATGCTTCTCGCCGTGCCATTTTCCCTCGTCGAGATCACGCACAACCTGACACAATGCCGACAACACGCACCACACATCTGAGCTTCAATATCCGCGACTGGTGATCTGCTGCCCCACATGAAGCACCGTGCCACGAAGGTCCACAGCACCCGGCCAGCCCTGTCCTGCCCTCGTGATGGGTGATCTGTTGTCACACACGGAGCACCGGCCCCGAGTCCACAGCCACCCGGCCAGCCCTGTCCTGCCCTCGTGATGGTGATCTGTTGTCCACACGGAAGGCACCGGCCACGAGTCCACACACCCGGCCAGCCCTGTCCTGGCCCTCGTGATGGTGATCTGTTGCCCCGGAGCACCGGCCAGAGTCCACATCACCCGTCCAGCCCACCCTCGTAATTGGTGATCTGTTGTCACACACGGAGCACCGGCCACGAGTCCACAGCACCCGGCCAGCCCTGTCCTGTCCGCACGCAGGCCCGCACGCAGGCCTGCACGACAGGCTGGAGGGAGAGAGCCCACAGACGGCCTTGGAGCCGACAGCGGCCGGTGCATCACTTACCGCCCTGTTGCGTCTTGGCGCGTACCGGCACCGAAATGGGCCCGGGCCCGGCCAGCGTCTCGGCCTGTACACGGAGCGTGTAGATCTCGTGCGGGACCAGGCCGGAGAGGGTGATGAGTGTGCCGCCGCCGGCGTACACCACCTCCGACTCCCACTGCTTCAGCGGCAGGTCGGGCGTCATCGTGAAGTAGACCTTGTAGCTGGTGATCTGCACGGCAGTTGGCAGCGTCATGACACCGCACCCATGATGATGCAGGAGCAGGAGCGACCACGGAGATCGCTATCCCAAATTCGAACAACACATCACGATAACAGCGCTGACACGGGTCAGCTGACAACGCTCCCTGCTCACTCGCTGGGAACGGCGGCTTGCAGGCAGAGAGGAGCAAAACCAGGGAAGGCCTACGCCTCACCAGAGCACGGGACTCGCCCTTTTCGTCTCCGCCGTCACGGAGGCCTCCGTGTCTTGGAGAGCCGAGAGGCACTGGGGACAGGGACAGCGCACGGCATAGAGCACCCGGAACGGCACACTGTAAGCGGCTCAGCCGGCAGCCGGTGGCCAGCCGGTGGCCAGCCGGTGACCAGCAGGTGACCAGCCGGTGGCCAGCCGGTGGCCTGCCGGTAGCCAGCCGGTAGCCAGCCGGTAGCCAGCCGGTAGCCAGCCGGTAGCCAGCCGGTAGCCAGCCGGTAGCCAGCCGGTGACCAGCCGGTAGCCAGCCGGTGACCAGCCGGTGGCCAGCCGGTGACCAGCCTGTGGCCAGCCGGTGACCAGTCGGTGGCGCCTGCGCGGCCGCGGCCGCCGGCCTCTCACCTGGACGACAGGCTGGTCGGGGCTGTCCCACATGACAACCAGCGTGCTGGAGCCCAGCGGCCGCACGTGCACGTTCTTGGGCGCCGAGCCGGGCTCTACAACAGGCGGACAGACGCACCCATCACACACCGAGCCTAAGCGGACGACGACGACCCAGCGGCGGATCACGCGCGTCACAGCTGACGGCAGCTCGCCGAGCCGAGCCAGACTGCCGCTGGGACTCCTAGTCTGCCGCGCACGCAGGCAGGCACAGTCACCGGGCGGCGCCAAGGCCGGCCGGCGGGCCCGTCTTGACCGCCGCCAGGTGCGTCCGACACGCCGGCCAGTCGGCGCCGCCGCCATTTCAAGCACGCCGTCCGGAAACCGGACAGCAGCGGCGCACACGTGTCCTTTCAGGCGGGCGCGTGCCCGGCCTGCCGTCCGCTGGCCGCCTCACGGGACGGCGGCTCCGGTCACCGGCCAAGTAGCCGGCCACGGCACCGAGAGCCGCGGCTGGCCACGGCACCGAGAGCCGCAGCTGGCCACGGCACCGAGAGCCGCAGCTGGCCACGGCACGGAGAGCCGCAGCTGGCCACGGCACCGAGAGCCGCAGCTGGCCACGGCACCGAGAGCCGCAGCTGGCCACGGCACCGAGAGCCGCAGCTGGCCACGGCACTGAGAGCTGCAGCTGGCCACGGCACTGAGAGCTGCAGCTGGCCGTGGCTCCGAGAGCCGCAGACGGCCACGGCACCGAGAGCCGCAGACGGCCACGGCGCAGGCTCGGATTACACGCGCCTCACGAGGGTTCGAAGCTTCGGTATGATACTGCCCATCGCCTAAACACCCGCCGTTAAAACAGCACAGCGGGTTCAGTTTCAACGGCGCAACAGGTCCGCTTCGTGGTACGCCCTGAGAAACCGCTATCACACGGCGCTGTTCGCTTCCAAGTCACGGCAGCAACGGAAGCTAAAACAAGCAAACGCGCGCTATCCAAAATCACAGCTACGCTCCTACAGGTGTGCGATAATGTTGCACGCTTCCAGCACAGACAAACGCCGGCAACGGCGCTCTTTCGTCCGTTTCAAATTCATGCAGTCCATAGATACCAGGAAAGCAGCGTGAATAAAAGCGGCTGACAAACAGTACAGCTGTGAAGTGCGCAGCAATACAAGTGCGGACATTACACGCAATCGACACAGAAACGATGCTTCGAAGTGTGGGAAACGCATTTCAGTGAAAAACCCGACCAGCACTCAATAATTCGTCGGCAGCGCCGAGTGGACCAGACAGAGCAAAGAAAACAGAAACCGAAGACCTGAGAAAACACAAATCAACTTACGGGAACCTCTGGAGGTTATCGGTGTGACGCGGGAGAGAATACAATAACATTAGAGCCTGATCAGCGGCCGGTGCCGATCAAAGTCAGACGCGTTTGCGTGGCGCGCATGGGTAACACATCAGGTGACAGGGCGGCGGCGGGTCACAGGTACACTGCTCTCGCTCTCTCGCTCTCTCGCTCTCGGGGGACAGTGGGGAAGGAACACGCTCCCGGCCGCGCCGCCGCCAGCCCGCCGACCGCAAATAAGGCGACGCGCCGCGGCTCGCGCTGACAGTGGCCGCCTGCTGATGCCACGCGCCGGTGGCCGTAATCGGCCCCCGACTAAGCCACGCCTGGCGGCCGGCCGGGTCGGCGGTGTCGTCTCCAGCCGGGCGCGCTCCGGCCGCCCAGCCGCCATCCAGACGCGACACCTCGCCGGTTGCACACATGCGTCCATAAACAACCCGACACATTACAACGTTTTCAAACACCGCTGAGTCTCTGTCACAAATCCGCCACCCTGAAACCTAGGGCTACGAGTCATGATTCCGAGGAACAGGTTAATGGACGCCCTGACGAGACGACGGCGGTCCAGCCTGTCCATAATGAAGTCACGGAAACGGGTCCAGCACGGCACCACCGGCACCGATTAACACGCGTTTCCGAGCAGCTCGTCGACTCTGTGGCCGCTCCAACAGGTGTGTGGGCCAGCCCAGGTGCCCCTTCCCCTCCCCTCCCTCCCTTCCAACACCCGACGGACGGGCGGCACGTGCAGTGTTAGCTGTTCCCGATTCGAATGTCGTAAACCAGGCGGCCGTCGTCGGTGTCGAGACTCTCCCCGCCCACCGGCGTGAGCGGTCCGGAGGCGCGTCAAGCCAGTCCATCCCACACGCGCCCTCAGGGCTACACGTCCCACCTGCCTCCTTCCCCTCCCTCCCTCCGGCAGGCCGCAGGGAGCGGCCGACGTTCCCAGCAGCGCAGCGCCGGCCGGCGCCGACCGTCCACCGCCGGCGCTGACGGCGCGCGTGCGCCGTACTCGGCCGGCCGACGGAGCCCGCCCGAGGCTCACCTGTCAGCCCCGTGGTGACCTGGACGGGCGCGCTGGGTCGGCCGCGGCCCAAGTTGTTGACAGCGATCACGCGGAACTCGTACTCGGTGAACGGCGCCAGGTTGGGCACCGCGTAGTGGAGCGATATCACGCCGTTGATCTCCTGCGGCCGAGACACCGGCGTCATCAACGGAAGCGGCGCGCGGGCGCCACACACCGGCGCCATGTCGCCATGGCGCAGTATGGGCTCAGACACTCTGGACGTCACCACCGGCGCCATGTCGAGCGTGTTGAGCGCACACAAATACTGACATTACCAAGCTGGGAACTGTCAGTCGCGTCAAAGGAGCCAAACCCACTCATGTCAGTGCTCGGGAATTTTGCAAACGCTCCTTAACGAATAGCTGCAAGCAGATGTTGTCACTTTATGAACTGTTTACCGTGGAGAACGCACCACTACGACAAGCACCTTGCATCTAAGTGCCAGCCCATGTGCGGAGAAAATAAAACGCTTTTGTTGTATGATAAATGCACGCTTAATACACTGGATAACGTCACTAGCAGCCGGTGGTTTACGAACGCCAAACGCGATGCCTGTGCCAGTCGGCATGAACAACACGCTGACCGCCCGCCGACTGACTGAACGTGCGGCACAGCCCGGCCTCATGCCCCGCCCCGTCCGCGCGCCGGCCTCACCTGCTGCCGATTGGACAAGCGCCACAGCCGCTCCGCCCCGTCCGCGCGCCGGCCTTACCTGCTGCCGACTGGACAAGCGCCACAGCCGCCCCGCCCCGTCCGGGCGCCGGCCTCACCTGCTGCCGACTGGACGAGCGCCACAGCCGCTCCGCCCCGTCCGGGCGCCGGCCTCACCTGCTGCCGATTGGACAAGCGCCACAGCCGCTCCGCCCCGTCCGGGCGCCGGCCTCACCTGCTGCACACCATACTTTTGGCTGTACTGGATGACGTAGTACTTGATGGTCTCCTGGTCGAGGTCGTACGACCACGAGAGGCGGACCGCCTCTGAGGTCACGTCCAACACGCGCAGGTTTGTCGGCGGCCGCGGCAGCCCTGCGGGCCACATTCAGGCGACGTCACCGACACTGGCCACAGCGGGGCCGTCTGGTCCGCGCTCACACATCGCCTCGGCGTAGCGCTCGCCGCCGGCCAGCGCGGCGCGGCACCCGCAGCCCTCCTATCTTCGCCTGCCTGCAGCGCGTCACGCGTTGCACGCCTGCGAGACCGCGCCCGAGCTTGAGGCGATTTCTGGGTCTCAGTGATCGGAGGTCTCTCTGGTTCGTACCTCACGTCCCGCCATGAGGAGATCATGCAACGTCAAATGAAGGGTGCTGCTGCGACCCTCTCCTGAATTCCTCGTCACACTCCAGCGGCTCCTCAGCGCCCCTCGCGGCTCCTGGTGTACCCATCTCCTGGCTCATGCGATACGCTCCTGAGCTCCAATGGTGTCCTCCGGTTTCTATGGCACCCATCTCCCAGTTTCTCCGGTATCCGCCCTCCACCTGCTGCTGCTGCGCCCTTCTCTCGGTTCCTGTGGTACCCATCCCCGGCTCGTGCCGTGCCCGTGCTCCTGCGACGCCCCTCCCCCTGCCAGGCTCCTGGGCCCGTCAGCGAGTCGGCCTGACCCAGCCCGGGGGCAGGTGTCAGCGCCGGCCGTCGGCGAGGTCTTGCCGTGCTGTCTGCGGGGCTCTGGGGGGCGTCTCGGCGGATTTACGCCCGATGAGTTCACTGCCGCCAGCCGGCGCGTGGCGGCCAGGGAATCCTGTCAGCCCAGCCCGGCAGCGGCACGCTGCCGGGCTGGGCTGCGTGACCGCTCAGGTCCAGCGCGGCGGACACGACAGCAAACGTGCACAGTGCGGGACCGTTGATCAGCGAAAGCAAGGCGACCGAAAGCCAGCACAGCAGCAGGCAACCGGCGCAAACGTCACAGCGTGGATGGAGCGGCCCGTTACGCACAAAACATCCCATAACGGACCCCGTTACAGAAGAGGAGAAGTCTAGTTGGGGCTGCCGGGCGTCCAGTGCGGTAAAACAGCCACGGCCGGCCTCATATAGCCGCACGAAGGTCGTGAGCACAGTCGCACCTGTCCGTCAGGAGCTAAAGCCCCGGGGCGTGAGCGGCTATCCAGATACTCCGACATACACGCCGTAGCTTGGACAACTGTGCTGCGCGCAATGGTCGGAAAATGAAGGGCAATAAATAGTACATCTACCTAGACAGTTATGGTGGAAGACCGTAGCAGGCCATTTCACAGTTATTTCCCTTCCGAGGCACGAACATCAACGTGCTCGGTTATGCAGCTTTACACGAGAGCAATACTATGGGTCTCAGTCGTAATTGAAGGGTTAGATGAAAAATAAAGGTGTATTGATAAGCAGCATTAATATTATACACACGTAATATTGATACTGTTATCACTACACCTCCTTTAGGCATGGTTCAACGAGGAAGAAGACCCAAAAAACTATTTCATGCATGAGAAATGTTGCTCACAGCTGCACTGAACAACCAAATATTTTATATACAAGTATGTTTCATTGTCCTGTACTTTTGCTCATTCATGTATATTTGCTGAAATTTTGATGACTTACAACGGTTTGGAACTTCATATTTACGACAGGTGTTGTTCTTCTATCTAATATGGGATGTTTTATCATCTCTTCTGTCGGCTGCTGCGGTAAAACCGTTACAAATAGGCAGCATAACAATGCCTTCGTATATTTGATCATGAGCAAGATGGTCAAGCCGCTACCCTACCCAGCCGTTATTCCAACCGGCCACCACCAGGAAATGTGCCGCATCTGGACAGGAGTCGCGCGACGAAATGTGACGTTCGCGTCGTGCGGCAGCAGCACCGACAGCGCGCTACTTAGACCGTATGGAGCGGGGCGGGCAGGCGACGGGCGCCGGTGCAGCGACCTCTCCGGCGAGGTGAGAGTGGCGCGCGCCGCCGGCAGCGGACGTCACGCCCCTCCTCAGCCGGTGCGGAGAGTCGGCCGGCGCTCGTCTCGGGCGGGCGTGACAGGATGCCGGCAGAGCGGCGGCGCCGGCAGCCGGACCGGGGGCCGAGCCGGCGCCGTCGCATCTCTGCGTCCGTGTCGACTGAGGCCGCGACACCGACCGCAGCTGGGTCATACAGCCGCCGCCCGGGCACCGGGCGGCCGCGGTGTCAGCCGGCCGGTCTGTAGACGAATTAGTCTGTACTGTAGTCAGCCGGCCGGAGCGGCCACGTGCGACGGCATGCTCCCGCGGACCAGTGACGTTCGAGGCCCCGCACCGGGCGCGCGGCACTCGCCACCCACCAACGCTAAGGCGAATTATTCACTTGGGGTGCGGGACAATGCAAAGTTAGTTGCCGCCGACGCACCTGGTGTCCGGTCCGCCCAGTCGGCGAGCGCTCCAAGACGACAGTTTGTACCCCCGATTTGAACTCCGCCGCCCTCAGACTACCATAGCGGCCAGCGGCGAAAAGAGCCGCGTATCGTAGGACTACGTCACCAGTGGACACTCTGGGCACCCCGCGTCCGGTCGCAGCGGTGCTCAAGTCCGTTCTCGGAATCGGACGGGCCCTGCCGGGCACCCGTTTGGCCCGTCTGATGGCACATGCATGGTGTCGGGCTAGGTTACGGTCAGCTATTGGCCCGGCCGGCGCGATGACGTCGCAGCACTCTGCATGCCACGGCGCTCTACGGCAGAACGACCGACTGCCACGCAGCTCGTGTCACGGACACGCTGCAACGCCATGTGCACGTCTGCATGCCAATTACACCCCGCCCACATGCACCCGGCACCATGGAGCTCAAAATTACTGATGGAGGTGGGCACGGACGGGCACGCACCACCCGCTTGACGACAGACGCTTAGACTAGTTACCGTTTGAGCCTCTGTCAAGCGCGCTCCGACTAAAAATACGACGAGCACTGTCGGCGCGGACGGCATGGAGGGGCTTCAGCTCGCCTGCCACCGGCCCATCGGCCAGCGCGTACACGACACGGCCGTGGCACGAGGTGCGCGCGCGCGCGGACCACGCCGGCCGGCCGGGCCGTGTCGTGTTTGGACCCGGTGCGTTAGGCGACCAGGCGTGCGCGCAGGTGCAGGGGCGTGCAGGGGCGTGCAGGGGCGTGCGGGGGCGTGAGAGGGGCGGGGCGGTGGTCACAGCGGCGGCGCGCCATCGACAAACGCCGTGGCAACGTCACCGTCATTGGCCGCCGACGCCGGTCCATGCCTGCCACGGGGTGCGTGACGCCGCGACATTTGCACCGGACACGGGTCGATGGCACTGGCAGAGGTCACACCGGCACCAAAACACGCGCCCACCGTCCACCCAGGCGCCCGAGGCGCACCTGGGCGCGGAGGGAAGGGGGGAGGGGAGGTGTTCCTCTAACGGTCTTCAGGGCTTTCGGCCCAGCACGCCTGTCACCTCGGCACCATTAATACTACATTGGCACAGACGGGGATCGCATTATCCTGCCGCCATTTGTATTAATTATGGCGACTCTCTGAGCAGATTAATCGGCTAGTTCGTTATCGTTACGTTTGCAGGCACCAGCATGCGCCGGATATGGCCGTCTCTTGCGCTGCCGATACGTGTCGGATGTGGGAAGCGAGACATCGGCCTCGGGGATGGTGACTCAAATCGTGAGCGTGACAACAAATACAGCCAGGCCGACACCAGACGCAGCTAAGCCGGCACCAGACACAAAAGAACAGCCGACCGACCCATCAGCAATCGCCATCTCACATGGACATCGAGGCAGCGCCTGGTCAGAGTTTCAATGCCGACGTAGAACAATACGGCTCACATGGGGGCAGTCGTCTGCCAATGTAAAGCAGCTGAAATTTATCTGCAATTAGACCTGACACAACGGACAATTGTTCCTGGACACCTAACATGTCGGTAAGCAGCATGAGCAGCGACACGGTCACTGCGTGTGTAACGAAATGAAAATATAGCGCCTACCCGAGATCTTCATGCGGGAGCCGACGTCAGCGCTCGGCAAGAGCAGGGAGGCACTCTGTGCAGCCGCGTTGCCGAGGCAACTGGCAGGGCCGGCCAATCAGCGGGCGTCACCAGCCGCTAATCAGTCACGTGATAGGCAGGACGCCGTGCATTGCCATGCCTTCCAGCGCCGCCTCTCTCCACGCAGAACATCAGCAGCGCACCGTGCTGACCTGCCAGCACTTACCGCGCCTGGCGAGATGGCGGGCAGGCCAGTTATTATCACATATCTCAGAGGCTTCCCACGTCGTTAGATCTGCAGAAACGTCCTCACCCGATTCCGCATGGTCTGAGCACGGAATGAATCATGACCGTCACCGGCTCTGGTCGTTCCCTCAACAACTTGCGTCAGCAGCGCGCTAAGCCTTTCATCTCGTTGCATTTGACACTTCGCGCGGTTCGTCCGGCTTCCATGAAAAGAGAAAGAGCGCGGCACACATCGCCAGAACGATAGCGAGACCGCCCGACAGCGGTGACCCACGCCAGTACTCGGCACTCTGTTCCGCGGAACTCTGTGCCACAGGTCAGGTCAAGTCACGTCGGAGAGCCCTCGGAGAGTGACCGAGGTGTCTGGTGAGGTACCGCAGCGGGCCAGCCACGACGCCCTCCTCCGGCGCTGCCGCTGACAAAAGCGTCGTCAGCGCCGGCTGGCGGACGCCGCGGAGTCGCGCCAAACGAAACCGAGCTTGCCCCGCGCCGCCCACCCGTCAACAGTGCTAGAATTCAGTGGCCGACCATTTTTGCCGGGGAGAAATGGCTGGAGCATTTAGCGGCGCTGTGCCCCAGCGGCACTGCCAGCGGGTGTGACACAGTCGACGAAGACTGAGTGTGACAGACAGCGCGGCCGAGCCCGCGGAGCCGGCCGAAAAGCGGCACCACACTGCCCACTGTCGCTTGTTGGAGTACGCAGCCGACACTATCCCTTTGGACTCTGGCGGGATGGGCGTGCTCTGCCATGGAGGCGAAGCCAAGGCCAGCATTATGCCGCCCAGGTTGTCGCGACACCGCCGAGCGCTCACCACGCATGAACTGTAGCGACGGAGTGAATGTGCAAGGTGTCGGAAGTGCTGCAACGTACGAGGCACAGCTTCCTTGACTGGAGACGCGGCTCGTAGCAAGTCACACTTGGCGGCGGTCACTTGATACATCTCTTCGAATCCGTCCATAGAAATGGTCGCAGCTGAACACGGCACCCGGCTCAGCGGCCCTGACCAGCTCGTTTCAGTACAAACAGAAAAAGGCGCTCACAGGCAGGACTAACAATGGGGCCCCGCACAACTGACCAGCTTGTCAAAGTACGGCCGAGCCGGCCTGTCCGCAAACGGCTGTCCCGTGGCGTGACTGCCCTGGTAAACAGCGCCGACGAACGCCAATAAAATACGACCGTGGAGCCGGACCGGCCAAATATAATGACCCGCCACGGATGTCGGAGCAATTTTCCAAAAAAAAAAAAAAACACGCCTGCGGATGGTTTCTAGCGGCCGCCGGCACTCGAAGGCCGCGTCCGGCCCGCTGAGCACGGGACCGAGCTGGCGGCCGTGTTGGCCGCAGGATGGCTGCGAGCGCGCGCTCGGCCAGGTAGTTCAGCTCAAGGCAGAAGTCAAATGCGCCAGACATTGAAGCCCTGCCCGCAGCCCAGGAGGCAGCGAGTGCTGGGCGTCAGCGAGCGAGGCCGGCCCCGTTGAGCAGGCGTACAGCTATCCGAGCGCGCACCTACGGTGCTACCCGGCACCACTCCCAGTCTGAGGCTGGTTGGGGGAGACGTCCAGACGTCAGCCTGCGTGAGTCGGACGTCAGTGCCCAGGGCGCGAGCCGGGCGGCACAGACGTGGCAGCCTGCCGCCTGTCAGGGTCCGACTGCTGCCGTATGTCCAGAGCTCCGACTGGTCCGTCAGCCAGCATGCCGGCCGACCGGCACCGACACAGTCGCGTGGTCACTGACAATCAATATACGCTGTCGTACCACCGTCGCCACTTTTTACAGGCCCCGGCGTGCTTCCGCTCGCGACTTATTTATAATTAGCCCACTTCTGCGAGAGGTGGTGCGACTCTGACTGCGTGTCGGCGGCAGCGGGTTGGCCTGTGAAAAGCGCAGAGCGGGCCACGGGCCGGGCCCATCCGTCTCCCACCCGTTTTCCGCCTGTTAGCGGGCGAGAAGCGGCCGGCCCAGACGGCCGCCCATGTCACCAGTCAGGGCGTCACAGGAGACCCGCCAAACAGCGGAGATCTGCTGATGAGACGAACTGCTTCCGTCCGCCCCCGGCCCCTACCAGCTTCCGCTGGTAGGGGGGCGGGGCTCCCGCTGGGAGAGAGGCCCAAGGAGTCAGCTCCCGCCACGGCATCACGAGAGGACGGAGTTCCACTGCTGAGGTTGGCCGTCCTCCCCCCCCCCCCTCCATCACCCACCCTTGGCCCCCTCCCACCGGTGGGAACGTAGGCTCCCGGCTCGGGAACTACCGCCGACCACTGCTGCTCAGCCGTGATGTGGGGTTCCTCCAGCCTGCTAGATCCGACCCCGCACCCACGACATGCGGACGATCCCAGTCATCCTGCTACTCTTGCCGAGCGTCTGCTGTCTGTCCGCTGACGAGCACCCCGTGCATGGTAGTCTTCTGATGAGGCCCACTCTTCTGGACGGCTCTTGGCATGCCGACGGAGGGGCTTACGTTGGCTAACTTGTTTACAAAAACTGAGATGGTCGGCGGGGAAACACACCATGGCCGGAACTCCCGGAAGCAGAGCGAGGCGCCTGAATGGTCAGACATCAATGAGAAGCAAACGAAAGCAACAACAGGAAATACAAACGGGATGCAGCTCAGGCATGGAACGGGAACCAGTCGGACAGTGCGGCGCAAGATAGGCACCGCGACAGGAAGGAACAGCAACAGCATGACTTGAACTGCATACATCATCCATCACATTCCAACCACATATTTCACCCTGTTCCCCTGGGCGTGGCAGACTGGTTGGCAATCTACCCGAGCCCTCCCCCTGCCTCTTCCGCCCCTCCATCCCACTAGTATTACCTGACGCAGTCTTGACCTCTGCAGCCACCTAGTGCAAACACTGGCACTGTCGCTGGCGGCGCGACCTCGCAAAAATACCCTTCCAGCACCGGGCGCGGGTGGACATCCCACTGGCTCGGTGACGTCATCTCTCGGCCGGGCGCGGCGCCGCCGGCCGGCCACTGACGCTCACCTTGCACGTTGACCTGCGTCATGCTGGCCACCGAGCCGAGCTCGTTAGTGGCCACGCACGTGTAGTTGTTGGACTGACGCACGTTGCTGAGCACGAGGACCGAGCGGCCGATCGGGGCCGGCTCCTGCGGCCTCAGCCTCGATGCCCGGCTCCTGGTGCAGCGGACATCCCCACGTCAGCGACGGCAGGGCGGCGCGGCCAGCGCCGCGCGGCGCACCCAGTATAGTGTGATGCATAACAGCGGCCAGCGAACAGTGCCAGGCCACCGCAGCCCGTCGCTGGCTGCTTCCACCCTACGCTGCATCGGTGGCGGCCCCCCGGGCCAGTTCGATGGTCTCAGTCTGCCCCGCCCCGGCCCACCCGCCTGATCCGGCCGACGCGATCGTCGCCAGCCGCCCTCTGGTGCGTCGGCGTCGGCCAGTCTCCGGGCGGTGCCGGTGGCCAGAAGCCCGGCCCGCGTCCGCACTGCCCGGACCCGGCGGGAGGGGGCGAACGATCGGTCGGCACTTACCTTGTGCCACCGGATGTGGGGCACGGGCGAGCCGACGGCCACGCAGGTAAGGTTCAGGTCCTCGCCGGGCAGCACTTTGTACACCGCGTCCGGCAGAGTATGGTGAACGTCGGCTCCGCGCGGCGCACTGGCGGCGCGGAAACACAGGTCAGGGGAGGACAACGGGCACAACCGAAGGCAGCTGTGCGGACACACCGGTCACAGCGACATGGCAGGCCAGGCAGGACCGTGCCCCACGGACGGAGAGCGGTCACAGGGACACGGCAGGGCAAAGGAAAACGGAAATGAGCGTCGGGGGAGAGCCGGCGAATAGCTGGCGACTTATCCATGTGCCCCACATTGGTGACGGCTAGCTGTGCCCGAGAAATATTTGTAATCAAACCATCAAGTGGCAAGTTGGCGCGTCGCAAAACAAAAACGCGCCCAGCACGACGCGTCGACACCAGCTCAGCGCGTGTACTGCGCGAACGGAAATCCACTTGACACCCGATCACCACGGCCGCGACCCACACCAGGCCGCTCGCCGGCTTCCATCAGTGGGCCCGGTGACCGAGCAGCCTTCCATCAGCGGGCCCGGTGACCGAGCCGGCCTTCCATCAGCGGGCCCGGTGACCGAGTCGGCCTTCCATCAGGTGGGCCCGGTGACCGGAGCCGGCCTTCCATCAGTGGGCCCGGTGACCGAGCCGGCCTTCCATCAGTGGGCCCGGTGACCGAGCCGGCCTTCCATCAGTGGGCCCGGTGACCGAGCCGGCCTTCCATCAGCGGGCCCGGTGACCGAGCCGGCCTTCCATCAGCGGGCCCGGTGACCGAGTCGGCCTTCCATCAGCGGGCCCGGTGACCGAGCCGGCCTTCCATCAGCGGGCCCGGTGACCGAGTCGGCACTCGGCCGCTGCGGCCCGTGACAAATACGCCCCGAAAGGTAGGCACCACACCTGGCCGGGGTTGGCTCACCGAGCCCGGCATGCGCTCGCTAAACTTGCAGCGCATTATCCCGCCCGGCGGCGGCGCGCGGCCAGTTGACGCGCCACCCTTGGGCCATTTATGTTCCAGTGGATCCGGAGCGAGCGGAGCAGCGAGGTGCCAGCCACCGGCCTGAGGAGGGCGCGCCAGACGGGCGGGGACTCACAGCGCGCCCGAAGCCGTCCGGTTCGGAGACGCGACGCGCCGTCCCACGGTGTGCCCCACACACCGCCCACCCGCACACGGTGCAAAACGGTATGCGCTTGCCACCGGTGCATGCGCTGCCATTGCTGCGGTGGTGGCGCCACATTCCGAACATGTCCTCATAAGACGTTATGAGATGGCCGCGGCCGGCCAGACGACTAAAGAGGGCCGGTGCTGCGCGGCCGGACAGCACCCCCTCCCCTCGCTTCCCCCTACCCCCCACCCCTCCCCTCCCTTCCTCAGGCGTCCAGACAAACCGGATGTGGGGTCATGCCCCAGATGTCCGGGAAGTACCCACAGGGCAAATGACATCCAGAACTGTAGGACGACCCTCCCTCGATAATAAGAAGAAGGTCAACTGTAAGACGACCCTATATAATAAGGAGAAGGTCATCCCGAGACAGATAATAAGGAGAAGGTCACCCCGAGATAGATAATAAGGAGGTCATCCCGAGATATATAAGGAGAAGGTCATCCCGAGATAGATAATAAGGAGAAGGTCATCCCGAGATAAAATAAGGAGAACGTCATCTCGAGAATAGATAATAGGGAGAAGATCACACCCGAGTTAGATAATGAGGAGGTCATCACGAGATAGATAATAAGGGGGTCATCCCGAGATAGATAAGGAGAAGGTCATCCCGAGATAGATAATAAGAAGAAGATCACCCCGAGATAGATAATGAGGAGGTCATCCCGAGATAGATAATAAGGGGTTCGTCCCGAGATAGATAAGGAGAAGTCATCCCGAGATAGATAATATGGAAAGGTCATCCCGAGGTAGGTAATCTGGAAAAGGTCATCCCGAGATAGATAATATAGAGAAGGTCATCCCGAGATAGACAATAATGAGAGGTATATCCGAGAGACAGACAGACGTGCCAAACTGATTTATCTCAGCCCGGACTGTGGGACACGGCCGAGAAACGCATACACGCACAAGACGCGCACACGGTGGGTCATCAGTGACGCCCATCCGTCATACATCCGTGTAAGAGCGACACTCATGCGTCGCTGCACATCCGTGTTCACCACTGATGTAGACGATGGCGTCGTTCGAGTAGACGGTGCCCTCGCCGTTCTCGGCGGCGCAGCGGTACTTGCCCTCGTCAGACGTCACCGAGTCCTTGATGACCATGTCGCCTGGAAGAGGCGGCGCACATGAGCAGGGCCAATCGCTGCCCTCTGGCGCCGAGCCGGCACACCCTGCTTGAAGAAGAGGGGGACGGGTTGGCGTGCGGAGCTGCAACAGTGCCGCAACACAACATTTCAAAGTAGATAACATTGTTGTTGTATGACCAAAAGTTGTACAAAAGGTAGATGTCAAAAAGCACAAGTAACTTATTTGATACAAAACCAGAAACAAACTATCCAACGGCTAACCAAAGACCCTGCTTAGCTTAACACCCCACCGTGATTTGGTAGCGACCCTCTGTAGATTGGTAGAAAGAATTGCATACTTTAATCTAATGACCCTTTCGCGCGTTTTCATGCCGCATTCAGCTCGGGTTTCTTGGTGGAAAATACGCCTTCTCTCCAAAGCTACCGGAGACTTGCGGAGCCGTGGATTTCCGCGTGCCCAGGGGAGTGTTTAGGATGGTGTTTGATGTCAGTGTTTATACCCATTGTACAATATTCATCGTCATAGTTTCAAATGGAAATTTAAACGAATGTAACGTTAAAAAGGAAATAGAGCTTATTTTCTGCCACCAATATTGATCAATTTACGTTATATGGATCTGTGTATGTAAGTATGTACATCATGCATTTTCATTTAATTTTTCTTGTGTTCCAACAATTTTGGCGTGCCATTCAAAAACCTTAAATCGTAACGCATACGAGATGCTCTCTGTTTCTCCGCTCCCCCTGGCTATCCACCACCGTCAGGCGAGGCTATTGCTGTTGTGATTGTTGTGTGTCAGAACACGGGAGTGTCGTTGGTGGGCGGTGGCTGGGTTAAACGTGTGCTGGTGAGCGGCAGTGGACCTGGGCACTGAGTGCATTGAAAGCAAAGGTCGTGGCCGATATGATGAAAATATCCGGCCTGAAACACGCGAGCAGTGTAGCTCGGCTACTTACGGCGCGCGGGCACGCGACTCTGTCGAAGTTTCGGGAGCGGCTCTTTTCCATTTCACGTTGCAAATACGGGCCAGGCCTCCGGCTGGTCGGCCGCCCCGCCGGAGGCCTGCTGCGCCTGGAGCTGGCCGGCCGCCGGGCTCTACAAAACACCGGCTGGCTGGCTGTGCTCCTGTTGCGAGTCCTTACAAAAGACGACTGCCCGACCGAGCCTAGTGTCCGACCGACCGGACTCAGTGGACTGGGACTGCTGATACCGTTTGCGACTGACGCGCACCCGACCGTATCACGTGGTGGCCCGCGTGGGTGGCGCATGTACTCGCCGGTTGCATCAACATGCCACTTCGTTTCTGTTCTTGGGGCTCTCGGTTTTTTTCAGAAAAATCAAAAGCCTGTTGGTATTTGACCGATTTAACACCAGATGATCATGAAAACGGCGCTGCTCCATTAGCCCAATACCACAAGCACGCCAACATGTCAGCATACGATGACGGAGGCTCCGTCGGGTCATCAGCATGATGCTGGAATAATTAGAAGGATTTTTACTGCGGATTTCAATCTATTGCGTGGGCTGGAAAATTTATGCCACGTTGGCAGGCACCAAGTACAACATCAACAAACAAAATAGACAGATTACCACAACAGCTAGCTATTTTGCCCGTTTGCGCGGCATTCCGTTTTGTCATCATCAATGTGGCCAGGCCGCCAATTACTCCGTCAAACCATAAGTCAGGTTTAGCTGCAATAAAATGATCTTTCAATTACGACTATGAAATGTGGCCAGGATAATGGCGCCTCGATGACGTCATGCACTGCGCAAGTCGTTGGAGCTGGGCTCAGTACCAAATGCCGACTCTATGCTACATGCAACTGTTTCCAACGGATGCGCACTGCAAAAGCGTACCACTTCATGTACGGAACTCCATGCAAACTGTTCCCTGCTGTTTTATCAGCAGACGCCATTGCAATACTAATGACACATTTGAGGTCAGTGAAACACAAAAATACGCAAACCTTTAGGGAACTTTTTCGGTGCTATGACCCATATCAATGGTAGCGCGTTGGCAAGACATAAGAAGCGACAAATTTTTAAGTACACAATCACAGGCGCAGTACTAAGAAAAACGACATATGCAAAACATGCTCTCGCTCTGCACTGCTGCAAGATGGGTTGCCTTTGGCAAAACGAATCCCGTTAACACGCGCTCGGGTGGGGATGGGGGTCAAATTGACCCTCCCCCGAAGGTTTTTCCAGAATGGTTTCCAAACGGCGCGGCGTAGCCGCGCCAAATATTGCAGAGCTGTAAAAAATGAATAGCGAATCGTTTGCCATCAAAAATTTAGATGTACAACTTGCTTACAATAATAAACTTGGGCAACACAACGGTTGAATGAGCAGATTACACTGACCTAGGTCAGGTATGAAGGTCACACCAAGGTCAAAACCAACCTGTTTTGTTACCCTAGGGCTTGCTGTATGAGATAGTTTCTGGTGCTCTTTTCGAATATTGATAGCAGGAACCGCATTATACATCTCCCATGACTTCTTAGAGGTCAGAATAGGTCACTGACCTAACATGACACGGGTCAACATTTTGTTTTAGGAACATACTGCCTAGCGTAATATTTGTCGCTTAGTCAAATGCAAAACTCAAAACAATCTGGTATTATTTTGTTACACCGACCTTCAAAAGATCAAACAAGGTCACTGACCTTGAATGAGTATGTGGCCTTTTGCAGAGAAACGGTTATCTAGACTCTGGGGCACTTTGGAGACCAACCTGGAACTTGATCTTGTTTGACCATTTGGACCCGAAGGTCATGACCTAGGAACCTGAAACCTCGACCTAAGTGAGCACGTATAGGTCAATACACCCTATAAATTTGGTGTTCCTAGCTTTCTTTGTTTCCGAGCTCTCAGGGGGGGGGGGTCAAATTGACCCCCACCCGCGCGAAGGGTATCTAGCCGGCCACCCGGGCGCGTGTTAACCGACGGCTCATCTAAACATTGAATCTGACACGCTTTCTGCATACGCAGAATAGAAAAAAGCAAAAGGTTCTTTTGGAACTACGACACCAGACCAAAAATATTGACCCAGCATCCGCAATGAAGCTATCCAGCTCTCCGCCGGAACGAGGAAGACATAACGGCCTGAAACATCCGCAGTGAAGCCACCCAGCTCTCCGCCGAACAAAGATAGACGTAACGCCTGAAACATCCGCAGTGAGCTACCCAGCTCTCCGCCGGAACAAAGGTAGACGTAACGGCCTGAAACATCCGCAGTGAGGCTACCCAGCTCTCAGCCGGACAAAGGTAGACATAACGGCCTGAAACATCCGCAGTGAGGCTACCCAGCTCTCAGCCGGAACAAAGGTAGACGTAACGGCCTGGAACATCCGCAGTGAGGCTACCCAGCTCTCCGCCGGAACAAAGGTAGACATAACGGCCTGAAACATCCGCAGTGAGGCTACCTAGCTCTCAGCCGGAACAAAGGTAGACGTAATGGCCTGAAACATCCGCAGTGAGGCTACCCAGCTCTCAGCCGGAACAAAGGTAGACATAACGACCTGGTGCTAACCTTTTACAGCCAGCTCGCATGCCAAAGTTGGGAAGCTCAAGCCAAGGTATCCACGAGCTTAACGTCCCATGCAACCCAATCAGCATTCAAAAGAGCCTGTCAGGGACGATGCCATACATTTCGGGCTGGAACACTGGCACGAGTTCCGGCGGCTCGCTTGAATGGCCATATTGATGGCACCACTTAACCACAACGACAAGAGGATAGCCACCTGTTCGACTCGTAATTGTATGTGGTTGGTGAGCAATATTGACGGTCCGAATCTGCTTTTTGTTCGCCGAAACGACACCGGCTTTCAGGCTTTCTGAGCTGGTGACAGGCGAACGACAGTGCCAATCTTCCTCAGCAGAGGATCTGATCTCACTTCGGAGCGGCCAGGCCTGTTGTCTGGCCAACTGTTCCGTCTTGCCGATGTGCCGCGTCCGGCCCTCTCGGAGGGGCGCGCCGTCTC